GCTTCCTATTGGCTGGAGATAGCAGGCTTCGTGTTGTCCTTGTTGAGCTGTAGAGCTTCCTGGAAGCTGGAGATCTCTGCAGAAGTCCCTTTTGACTTGGTAGAGCTGTAGTACTCCATGTAAGCCACAGAGAGCTGTAGAAGTCCCTGTGGGCTGTGTGGGGGAAGACTCATCTGGCTCCACCAGCCACAGTTCAGTGGTGGGTAATGAAGATACTGCCCAGTCCCCAGGAGACAACACAATCAATAACCTCATAGCAAGTCGTTTGTTCCTTGTTACACAATTGTACTACTATTGCATGTCTGTTGTTCGTCAGTTTGAAGGATGAGACTATTGTTGAAAAATTCTCTTTGTCTATGTAAGTGTGTCACTGGATCTGATCGCTGGATGTCGTTAACGGAACTCTTTGGTGATCAGCCAGAAAATGAACTTGTGCTCGTAAAACTAATTTAACTTTGTCATGATCAAACTATTTGCAGTGGATCTCAAGATACATTGATTTTTCAGTGTAATGGGTTGGTTGTAACTTAAAATATTTACATGTTTAGATTCCAAAAGAGTTTCTTGTAACTGTACATGTTACTTAGAACTATATTATGCTTCTTTAGATAATACATAACACAGTTTCAGGAGTAGAACACCTCGGGTTTTATTTGAGCTTGTGGAACCTTTCAGCTACCAATCAGCCCATCAACTTACAATTCAAATTATTCCACCATCCATGATCCACCCACAATCTTACATGTCCTCACCGCCTCCGTGGTGTAGTGGTTAGAGCGTTCGCTCGGAGAGTGGAAGGTCGCAGGTTCGATCCCCGACCGCGTCATACCAAAAGACGTTAAAATATGGTACTTGTTGGTCCCTGCCTGACGCTCGGCATTAATGGGTACAACAAGGACTGGTCCGCTCGGAGTCAGTATAATGTGTCTAAGTGGGGTATTCATGCTTCACTGCGGCATGGTATCTCAGTGGGCTATCACTATAAAACCAGCTTAAGTCTGGGCTAGTACAAGCAGCCGCGCATACACATACACACGCATGCACGTCGTCATATGAGCAAAATATTCTCAAGCACGACGTTAAACCCAATTTCACCTCACCTCACATGTCCTCACTCACTCACTCCACCTTCCATCCATACATCCACCCCTCATCCACTCACTCACTCATGTACCCACTAATCTTTCCATCCATACATCCACCAAACCACCCATCCACTCACTCACTCCTCGAGAGTTCATACACAGGTAACCAAGTGTGCGTTTAACATTTAAAACAGTTGCATTGAAGCTTACGAACCATGAAGAAAATGTTTAAAGATTGTCAGTCAATGTTTGCAATGTGTAACACGCGAAAGTAATGATGCGAAACTTCTGTGAAAACACAGACAGCATTGCAATTGGAGCTAACGGAGCATTGCGACCGATTTTCCCAAAATTGATCTTTGTCATCGCCCACTGACAAAAAACTAAATCATCTCATTCCGCACTCAGTCAATATTGTGGAGTCAAGTAATTAAAGCCGTGAAATTCCCATACATTCATTAACTGTAGATAATAGTTTCTTGACAACTGGTGATGCTAGAAGAAGCTGATGTACTACTGTCCTAACAACTAATTGCAGTGGTAGTGGTGCTTGAGTGATGTTCTCTGCCAGTTTTGTAGGCCAGTGGTTACTGACAATGGTGGTTCATCAGTTATTGATGACAGTGTCGGTATCAGGGCTGGTAGATGTAACACTGAACAGCAGGGGTGGGGCTTCCTTGGTCGATCATACAAAACAGACCATACACAGGGTACTACTTACTGCATGATTATACAAGCTTTGTAACTTTGTTTTGACATTGGGAAATGTTGTTTCTTGATTTTATTTCTGATAGCCAACACAAAGCATCATCTGAAAGTGCTATAAACTCATTCTAGAAGGGGTCACACAGATAATGGGAGTGGGAAGGGAGGGAGTGAGGGAATATGATTTTACGCCACTTTTGGCAATATTCCAGCAATATCATGGTGGGGGACACCAGAAATGGGCTTCACACATTGTGTCCATGTGGGGAATCAAATCCGGGTCTTCAGCGTGGGGGCGGCGGGGTAGCCTAGTGGTTAAAGCGTTGGCTCGTCACGCCGAAGACCCGGGTTCGAATCCCCACATGGGTACAATGTGTGAAGCCCATTTCTGGTGTCCCCCGCCGTGATGTTGCTGGAATATTGCTAAAAGCGGCGTAAACCAAACTCAGTCAGTCAGTCAGTCAGTCTTCAGCATGATGAGCGAACGCTTTAGCCACTAGGCTACCCCACCGGCCCAGGGAGAGAGGTACATTAACTGTTTTTGTAGCTTTTTGCATCGTCTTGAACAGTCTTGAACTTTTTATTGTTCTTAACAGATGCTGTCAATTCCAGGTAAGACTTTGTGTCTAGCAAGCTGGGTGGTTTAAGTGGCTGCTCAGTGGATGGGGTGGTCAGGCTCACTGACTTGGTTGGGTTATTGCTCATGATGTCAGCCCCTGGGTTGTCTGATCCAGACATGATAATTTACAGTCTGTGAGGGGCGTTGGGGGTAGTCTAGTGGTTAAAGCGTTGGCTCGTCACGCTGAAGACCCGGGTTCGATCCCCACATGGGTACAATTTGTGAAGCCCATTTCTGGTGTCCCCCGCCGTGATATTGCTGGAATATTGCTAAAAAGCAGTAAAACCAAACTCAGTCAGTCAGTCAGTACAAAGCATGATGGTGAGCAGCTTTAGCCACAGGCTGAAGACCCGGTTCGATCCCCACATGGGTACAATGTGTGAAGCCCATTTCTGGTGTCCCCCACGCGGATGTTGCTGGAATATTGCTAAAAGCCATGCGTAAAACCAAACTCAGTCAGTCAGTCAGTCAGTCTTCAGCATGATGAGCTTAACGCTTTAGCCACTAGGCTACCCCACCGCCCCAGGGAGAGAGAGGTACATTAACTGTTTTTGTAGCTTTTTGCATCGTCTTGAACAGTCTTGAACTTTTTATTGTTCTTAACAGATGCTGTCAATTCCAGGTAAGACTTTGTGTCTAGCAAGCTGGGTGGTTTAAGTGGCTGCTCAGTGGATGGGGTGGTCAGGCTCACTGACTTGGTTGGGTTATTGCTCATGATGTCAGCCCCTGGGTTGTCTGATCCAGACATGATCATTTACAGTCTGTGAGGGGCGGTGGGGTAGTCTAGTGGTTAAAGCGTTGGCTCGTCACGCTGAAGACCCGGGTTCGATCCCCACATGGGTACAATTAGTGAAGCCCATTTCTGGTGTCCCCTGCCGTGATATTGCTGGAATATTGCTAAAAGCAGCATAAAACCAAACTCAGTCAGTCAGTCAGTACAGTCTGTGATCATTTTACTTTGATGGGATTTGAGCTTTAGCAGACTTCTGTCTGTCCTTGAAGTTCGATGAGATTGCTGGTCATATCAGTCCTGGATTGGTCCGTTATGATTCTAGCTGACTTTTCTTGCCCCGACTGTTGGAACTAGAATCTAGTCCAGAGGGTGTTAGGAAACTATATCTCATGAGTCCTCACACTTGGTATGTTGTCAGACTTGAAGAAACCGAAGTGTTTCCTGAATACCAATGCTGTCAAACTTAATCATTTCTGACTTGTACATATCTTGAAGCGTTGAGAACAAGTTCATAATTATGACCCTCAAATTCTACTGGTCTATTAATGGTGTTTTACTTATCTTCAACCCTATTTTGTAGTCTCAGACTAGGTGACTGGCATGAATTTGGGAAGCTGGGATGCCGCGTGTGGCATTAAACACTCAACGAAAAATAAGCCATGTTGGTTGAGGTGAAGAAGGAACTAGCAAGTGCTGTGTGTTCAGCTACAGTTCACTAACCTGTGTATATGTTTGTGGTATCCAACAAGGAACAAGTTATTCATTAGTTACACCTTGAAAACCTAAACAATTCAGAATTATGTCCCTCTAACACTACTGGTCAATGAGGGGCGGTTGGGTAGCCTAGTGGTTAAGGCGTTCACTCGTCACGCCGAAGACCCGGGTTCGATTCCCCACATGGGTACGATGTGTTAAGCCCATTTCTGGTGTCCCCCGCCGTGATATTGCTGGAATATTGCTAAAAGCGGCGTAAAACCAAACTCACTCACTCACTCACTCACTGGTCAATGATGACAGCTATTAATGGTGTTTTACTAATCTTCAGCCCAATTTTGTTGTCTCAGGCTAGGTGACTAACATGAAGTAGGAAAACTGGGATGCCAACTTTGGCATTTAGCACTCAAAGAATAATAAACCAAGTAGGCTGAGATGAGGAAGGAAATGTGTGTTAAGCTGCTGTTCATCAACCTGTGTATGTCAGGGATTTACCTTGAGTCCTGTATTTGAGGGTCCCTGGGACTCATACTCTTAATTTTCAGAGGTCCTGGACAACAAAATGGGGGTCCCAGACACTTAAATATGATCATTAATACTGTTATTGTATTGTGTATCATGATCATCACATTGTTACAGTAATTAAATTGCAAATGATACCATAACCCAACTAGTAGCAAAAGTCAGTGATAACCTATTGTTAGTTGATTGGATTTTTTACAAAAAGTATTTGGCCGTTTTGAGTCCCTGTGGACTGGCTAATATATTTTGTTCCATTGTCAATTTTTATGTGTATAGGATGCAGGAATTCGTGTCCTCTAAATCCCTGGTATGTGTTTGAGGTATCAAGCAAAACCAAGTCACTCAATCGTTTCTTCAACACAAGCTAGTTGACTAGCATGAATTTGGGAAGCTGTGGTGCACAGCGTAGGATTTAACAGTCGAAGAATTATGCTTTACACATCAAGAACCGAAACAGCTAAGAAGAAGATGATGCTTGTTGTGGTTCACAGGTTGTTGTGTGGAAAGATTCATGCCACAAGGCACCTCTGCCTTCTACGCCATGTATTGATTACACACCTTACCTTAACCTCAACCAAAATCTACAAGCAGTCAGTGCAGAAGCTTTAACAAATTACTGAATTTCACATATTCAGAACTTCCTACCCAATGAGATGCAATTCTTGCTATTTTATCAGGTCATTGAGTATGATATAGAAATTGTGTCCATCTCACAAACCACTGGCTGAATTCCATCATTAATTGATCCCGAATCGTGAGCTATCATACAGGGGAACGCGGCTTGCTGAGACAGACTGGCAGGCTTGGCGGACTGGATGGGAGGGTACTGAAGCGTAGAGGGTTCCTGCATGGCAAGACACATGTATTAATCATCACCAGCGTTCATGGGTGGACTTGAAGCACTGTTCATCTGTTGCCTGGTTGGATGATTGTGTTCACATGCTTCATGGGAGGCTGTAGTTTGACAGGAGCGATGACTTCAATGGCCTAACTTTTCGTAGAGTTCAGGTGTGTGACTTGATGTGGAAAGTTGATTTGATTCCATTTGGGTTTTGGTTACCCGACTTGTGTAGTGACTGTGGAAAGTTGATTTAGTTCAGTTTGTGAACTGAGTTTATACCTCCTTGAATGGTGACTGAAAAGTTGAATTAATTCAGCTTCTCTGTGAACTGATTTGAGGATATCTCACATGTATTGTGACTGTGAATGGTGAATTAATTCAGCTTGTCTTTGAACTAGGTTTTGGATACCTGGATATAGTGACTCGGAACAGGTGAATTAATTCAGTCAGTTGATCAAGGGATACCTGAATGGTAGAATTACTGTGAGATTACACTGATTCAGGGAGTGTGGGGTTCGAAGTGTTTCTGGAGCTGTTGGTAACATCGTGTGTTGCTGCCTGAGCTGTGAATGGATGTGAGCAGGTAGCAGATAGTGGATTGCTTTGGACAGGAAACCAATGGGGGGCAAGCTCTCACGATTAGCGGACATCGTCAACAAGAGGAGAAAGTCCGACGCCAATACAGGTGATTAGCGTGATTACTTATAGTAAAACCTGTAAATCCATACCTTGTCGGTCTACTAACCATCAACAATCATATTTTATCAATATTGATAGACAATCTCACTCAAGTGCCCTTTGAGTGAGTGAGTGAGTTGAGTTTTACACCTCTTTCAGCAATATTCCAGCAATATCACAGCAGGGGACACCAGAAATGGGCTTCTCACATTGTACCCATGTTGGGAATCGAACCCGGGGTCTTCAGTGTGATGGGGGCCAACAGTTTAACCACTAGGCTACCCCAACGCCCAAGTGCCCTTTGATATTAAATCTATCAACATGAGTGAGTGAGTGAGTATGGTTTTATGCCGCTTTCAGCAATATTCCAGCAATATCACAGCGGGGGACACCAGAAATGGGCTTCACACATTGTGCCCATGTGGGGATTCGAACCGGGTCTTCAGCGTGACGAGCGGACGCTTTAACCACTAGGCTACCCCACCGCCCCTATCAACATGAAGTAATAGAAGTTTAAAACTCCTCTACAAGCTTAGAAGAGTTGATATACATGTATTGGTATTAAAACATATATGGTATATTAACTAAAAAAATTTCAGTGTGGTATCCATTTTACCAAACCAGAATGTATGTTTTCTTTTTTAAATATTAGACAGTATAACCAGGCTATTTAGAATTGAAAACTTAAATTATTAAATTTGATAAACATTTTAGGAAAAAAATTTTAAAAAATAGAGAAAAGTAATAATACCAGTGAAGATTTCGGAATCTAATCCCATTTGACACCATTTTTCAACAATCCTGTAACAGCTGAATCTCATTTTGCTTCAATTTCCGATCAACACCATCACAATGTAAAAAACAAATGGCAATAGCTCCTTTTTTAAGCCTGTGTTCAATATCTTTGATGTTCGTTGCTACTTCCTCGGTATCCTTGTAAACATGGCTGTCGTATCATGTAGTGTTGTGTAGTCATGGTGTTGAGCTGGGGAACAAAGATATCACATGATATCGCATGCATGTCCTAAAACTGGAGTCTTCAAAGACGATGTGAAGAATGGATCTGGATCAGCCAATCAAGCAACAACCGTGTTTGAATGAAAATAAGATACGTTTCTACATGCTGTCTACTTTAAGTGACAGTGCCCTTCATAGGTGGTGTTATTTGTGGCCCTTTACTTGTTTGACTTGACACAGAGTTATCTGAGAATCAATAGACTTGGGGATCAAGTCAAACTACTACAGCCTACCTCTATGGCTGTTGTCAGGAGATGAGTAAGTTATTTTCTCTACAGCCTAGCCTTCCCTGCAATGTAGTCTACAGTCCCTGAACCTCTTATGGTCTGTTATTTCAGCCTAGCCTCTTCCCTGCAATGTGTCTCACAGTCCCTGAACCATATTATTTCCCCTACAGCCTAGCCTTCCCTGCAATGTAGTCTGTCTCACAGTCCCTGAACACAGTCCCTATTATCCCCAGCCTAGCCCTCCCTGCAATGTACTCACAGTCCCTGAACCATATTATTTCCCCTACAGCCTAGCCCTCCCTGTAGTGCTAAAGCCCTAAATGAAGCAAGTCTACATTTCTCCAGGTTCTGAATCTCTGGTCTCCCTGGGGCTCCTTTTCAAACTAAATGGGTTTTATTTGTAACAATCAAAATTATATATTTTCAAAGACTAAGCATTAGTCTATGTTACGAGGTACAGACAGATAATGATTTTTCTTATACAAATGCTGGTTTTAAAACTAACAAACATGAGTACATCACATCCTAGCCATCCTAGTTGTGACTTAGCCGCACTTAGCAGTATCCCAGCTAAATGAGGGGCAGTGGGGTAGCCTAGTGGTTAAAGCATTTACTCACCATGCCAAGACACGGGTTCAAATCCCCACGTGGGTACAATGTATGAAGACTATTTCTGGTGTCCCCAACTGTGATTTTGCTGGAAGTTTGCTAACAGCAGCGTAAAACCATACTCACTCACTCACTCACTCACTTACTCACTCCCAACTATATGATCTGGACTACATGTAATTGGGTGCACTGTGCTGAAATCTGTGTAACAATCTGGTAGGTTTTAAACAATCATGAGTGTGTATGGTTTCACACTTCTTTTACCAATATTCCTCCACGGTTTGGGACACCAGAAATGGTCTTCACACATTGTGACCATGAGGGGAATTGAACCAGGATCTTTGGTGTGATGAGTAAATGCTTTACCCACTAGGCTACCCCACCGCCCCTGCCAAACAAACACATTTGAAAACCAACCTTAAGCGACTATAGCTGAAATGACATGTACACATGTTATAAAAATCACAATATTTCCACACCGCTGTAGTCTTCAGTTGAAGTCAGAGTTGTTAGTAGGACTTGTCTGTCATGCCAGATTTACTGTAGTCATACAAAAAAATAATTTTATGATCTGCATGCTGGAAGTTTGTGAGTCAATGATGAAGCATACAACTTTATTGGGAACAATTTCTTTTTTTGTCATAGGTTTATTGCTTTTAGCTGGATAACGGTGTAAGAATCGACACAGAAATATCACCCTATGCAATAAACAAGAAGTTGTTATCCATGAAGTTGTATGCTCCATCATATCAAATTGGCTGTTTTTTCCTATTTTAAATGGTATATACACAGTTTGACGATGTAAGCCCCATAAATAAAGGTCCATTGTTTGAAAATATCTATCCTCAAAAATACAATGGTTAATGCAAATGGAAACCAGAAGAATCATTAATTTCCGCCTCGCCAAGCCATTTTTGACGTGAGTTGGATTCCTTTTCTTTTCGATATTCTCTAGGGTCTGTGAGGCGGACATCTTCTATATCTCCAGGAATCACATTTCGGTAAACCAGCACTAACCCAGGATCCATTCCCATTGTCCAGCTGTAATCTAATGCAGTTACATTAATGTGTGTGATAGTTCTCAGTCTCGGTGGAGGAATCGGTAAGGTTTGAAAATTTGATGCTAGATGTACAATGTCTCCTTCATCTCATAACTTCATTACTGATCAAGCTCTCTTTGATGTATGGTGTTAGATATATTGTAAATAATTGATTGGAGCCATAGATTTGTGATGTCTTCCCAGGCCCTTGATCAACAGTCCTACAGCGTCAAGATGAGGCTTGTTGTAGGCCTGTGTTTGTTAGGGGTATGTAGGAACATAGGTCTGTAGTCTGTGCCAGGACCTTGATTAACAGTCTTACAGCTTGTTGCAGGATGTGGCTGTTGTATGTAGGAACTGTGGGCTGTTAGCGACTTGATCAACAGTCTTACAGCGTCAAGATGAGGCTTGTTGTAGGCCTGTGTTTGTTAGGGGTATGTAGGAACATAGGGCTGTAGTCTGTGCCACGACCTTGATCAACAGTCTTACAGCGTCAAGATGAGGCTTGTTGTAGGCCTGTGTTTGTTAGGGGTATGTAGGAACATAGGGCTGTAGTCTGTGCCACGACCTTGATCAACAGTCTTACAGCGTCAAGATGAGGCTTGTTGTAGACCTGTGTTTGTTAGGAGTATGTAGGAACATAGGGCTGTAGGTATGTAGGAACATAGGGCTGTGTTTGTCTGTGCCTGTAGTCCTTGATCTTGATCAACAGTCTTACAGTGTCAAGATGAGGCTTGTTGTAGACCTGTGTTTGTTAGGAGTATGTAGGAACATAGGGCTGTAGTCTGTGCCACGACCTTGATCAACAGTCTTACAGTGTCAAGATGAGGCTTGTTGTAGACCTGTGTTTGTTGGGGTATGTAGGAACATAGGGCTGTAGTCTGTGCCACGACCTTGATCAACAGTCTTACAGCGTCAAGATGAGGCTTGTTGTAGACCTGTGTTTGTTAGGAGTATGTAGGAACATAGGGCTGTAGTCTGTGCCACGACCTTGATCAACAGTCTTACAGCGTCAAGATGAGGCTTGTTGTAGACCTGTGTTTGTTGGGGTATGTAGGAACATAGGGCTGTAGTCTGTGCCACGACCTTGATCAACAGTCTTACAGCGTCAAGATGAGGCTTGTTGTAGACCTGTGTTTGTTAGGGGTATGTAGGAACATAGGGCTGTAGTCTGTGCCACGACCTTGATCAACAGTCTTACAGCGTCAAGATGAGGCTTGTTGTCAAGATGAGGCTTGTTGTAGACCTGTGTTTGTTTAGACCTGTGGTTATGTAGGAACATAGGGCTGTAGTCTGTGCCACGACCTTGATCAACAGTCTTACAGTGTCAAGATGAGGCTTGTTGTAGACCTGTGTTTGTTGGGGTATGTAGGAACATAGGGCTGTAGTCAGTGCCACGACCTTGATCAACAGTCTTACAGCGTCAAGATGAGGCTTGTTGTAGGCCTGTGTTTGTTAGGGGTATGTAGGAACATAGGTCTGTAGTCAGTGCCACGACCTTGATCAACAGTCTTACAGCGTCAAGATGAGGCTTGTTGTAGACCTGTGTTTGTAAGGGGTGTGTAGAAACATATAACTGTAGTCTGTGCCACGACCTTGATCAACAGTCTTACAGCGTCAAGATGAGGCTTGTTGTAGACCTGTGTTTGTTAGGGGTATGTAGGAACATAGGGCTGTAGTCTGTGCCATGACCTTGATCAACAGTCTTACAGCGTCAAGATGAGGCTTGTTGTAGACCTGTGTTTGTTGGGGTTATGTAGGAACATAGGGCTGTAGTCTGTGCCACGACCTTGATCAACGGTCTTACAGTGTCAAGATGAGGCTTGTTGTAGACCTGTGTTTGTTGGGGTATGTAGGAACATAGGGCTGTAGTCTGTGCCACGACCTTGATCAACAGTCTTACAGTCAAGATGAGGCTTGTTGTAGACCTGTGTTTGTTAGGGAGGGGTAGTATGTAGGAACATAGGGCTGTAGTCTTGTGCCTGTGTTTGTTAGGAGTACCTTGATCAACAGTCTTACAGCTTAAGATCAAGATGAGGCTTGTTGTAGACCTGTGTTTGTTAGGGTGTGTAGAAACATAGGGCTGTAGTCTGTGCCACGACCTTGATCAACAG